TACCAACCATATGTTAGTATATTCATGGTCCTATGTCACATCTGTGAAGATTACATACACTGTAAAAAAAATTCTGTAGTTTTTACAAAATAATTTTGTCAGCTGTGGTTGCCAGAATAATTTTGTAAAAAATACAGAAAAACTGTAAATTTTAAACTGTAATTTACAAACAAGAAAATTTGAATGTAAACCAGTAAATTCAACAATGCACACTGCTATTAAAATCTGTTTTGTACATACTGACAACCACCATAATAATGCAGGTGGTAAAAGAGAAAGCCACATGAAGAATCAAAGCTCATCACAGGTAGCTTCGCCACAAGCAGAAGTATATACTAATATATAGACGGTGCACAGAGTCATTCATGCAAACACTAAACACCATCATGGTAACACACATGATACTTAAATAATGCATTAAACTTTCATTAAACAACAGAAGATGTAACATAAAGCCCAAATATACATAACTAATAACAAAAACTATTAAAAAAACATGATTATTTAAACAAAATACTTTCAAATGTGGAGTGTCATGCAGGGAATTCTGGGAATATCAGTTTACAGTTTTTGACTGTAAATTATACATTGATTTATTATGTTTACTTCTAAAAACTGTAAAATTAACAGCATTTTACTGTAAAATTACATGAAATGTCTGGTTAGATATTTTACAGTTTTTCCCTGTATATAGTACGGGAACTTACTGTTAACCTATTAACAGTTTTTTTCAGTAGCGTTTTTACAAAATTTTACAGTTAAAATTACACTTATTTTTTACAGTGTATACAACCAACTTTGAAGCTTTAGTTTTCATGTTATTTTTGCATATATGTGTCACGTAACGCTGCCGGAAGGAACGAAGGAGCCGTGGATAAACAAAACTATCATTTATTGAATCCAAACAGGGGTAAATCCACACCAGGAAGGGAAGATGACACACGCTCACAACTGGTAGACCCGACAAAACACAGACTGAACAGACTGGGGCTTAAATACACAGGATAACGAGGAAATTGGGAGGAACACAGGTGAACCGAATGACTAATTAGACAGGGGAGAAACTGGGTCATGGAGAACATGGGGAGGGAAAGCAAAACAAAGACAGTCCAGGGGCGTGACATTACTCCTCCCTTCCGGAAGGCGCGTCCCGTGCCGTAAAAACAACAGAAGGAGGGACGGGTGGGAACTTGGGAGGAGGCTCAGGAGGAGGACGGACACCCGGGAGGGGGCCGGCAAACAGAGTCCAGGAAGGTGACGACGGAGGGAGAAGCCAAGGAGAAAACAGGAGGGACTTGGAGTAGGAGGAGCCGACGGAGGGAGGAGCCATGGAGGAGGAAGGGCTGACGACTCCAGGGGGCCAACCGACTGCGGCGGAGCAGGTGGCGGAGGAGCACGAGGCGGAGAGCCAATGAGCCAGGGCGACGGGGAGGATCCGGAGGGCCACGGTGGAGCTGGAGCGACAGAGGACCGAGGAAGAGCTGGAGGGATGGAGAAGCCTGACGGAGCCGGAGGGACGAAGGGACAAGGTGCAGCCGGAGGAGTGGAGTCCCGAAGCGCAGGATGGTCGACGCCAGACAAAAGCGGAGCCGGAGGGATGAGGAAGCCCGGCGGAGCCAGTGGACTGCCGGACCACGGCGGAGAGGAGGGAGCTAGGAGCTAGGGCTGTGCGATTAATCGAAATCGTCATAAAATCGCGATTTGAGCTTGCGTGATTTCTCATGGCAAAAAAAATCCCTGGACACGGGATATTTTCTTTTTTCTGCCATGTCTATTCTAGAGACATTTTGTTACACCTTTACTTAGTGATTATTTTGCCTTATGTCTGTTCTAGAGACATGTTACAGCTTTTTGATAAAGCTCTTATTGGTTTTCTTTTGGAAATGTTTTTAAAATTAATTCTCTCTCTCTCTGTATACTGTATACGCACTGCAGACGGAGTGCGTGTGAACTTGGCGCAACAAATCTAGTTCAACATCTGAGGCAACGCCACAAAGAGCTCTATGACCAATGCATGGCAAAAAAAAATCCTTGGACACGGGATTTTTTTTCTTTTTTCTGCCATTTGTCTATTCTAGAGACATTTTGTTACACCTTTACTTAGTGATTATTTTGCCTTATGTCTGTTCTAGAGACAGACATGTTATTTTTGATAAAGCTCTAATTGGTTTTCTTTTGGAAATATATTTCAAATTCACACTGAATGCATTAATGACTGTAAAGCATGTCTGTGTGTGTCAAAATCGTGACTAAAATCGAAATCGCAAAATTGATCAAAGAAACCGCGATAGGTTTTTTTTGTCCATATCGCACAGCCCTACTAGGAGCCATGGTGGAGCTGACGGGTCGACGGGCCGAGGCGGAGTCCGGGATTCAGAGGCTGGATGCGGACACAAGGGATGCTCCAGCCCCAGTGACGATGGAGACTGGCAGACCCACAGTGAGCCTACCGCACAGATGGTGGGCTGAGGGTGAGCAGAGGGGCTGCCAGACGACAGCGGAGGAGGAGGCAGGAGCGGGCGGGCATTTGTGAGCCTCGGGGCTCTAGGGGCTGCCCTTAGGAACAGAATCCCTCTCTTGACAGGACTTAGGAACAGGGTCTCTCTTTGGGTTGGACTTGGAAACAGGTGCCCTCTCTGGGCAGGACGTGGAACGGTGGGCTCGGGCTCGTGCTCCGCGCAGCGGGGAGATGGTGGGCTAGGCTCTGGGTCCGGAGTGGAATCCACTCCACAAAGGTGGCGAAATCCGCTCGAGGATGATCTTCGGACAACGGCGCTCTACATGCGGGGTTCAAGCTGGCATCATAGAACGCGCAGAGCGCGTCGTCCGGGTAGCAGGTGGTATTAGCAAGGACCAGGAACAGTCTTGTATGGTCCTTGAGCGATCTCTCCCCTGCTCCGGTATTCCGGGCGGGCGAGGGGATCCATGGGGAAACACACAACAGAAACAAATAACACTGAATAAACACGAAAAACAAACGGAGGGGAAACGCAGAATTAACTGTTCTTGGTCGGGTCTTCTGTCACGTAATGCTGCCGGAAGGAACGAAGGAGTCGTGGATAAACAAAACTATCATTTATTGAATCCAAACAGGGGTAAATCCACACCAAGAAGGGAAAATGACACACATTCACAACTGGTAGACCCGACAAAACACAGACTGAACAGACTGGGGCTTAAATACACAGGATAACGAGGAAATTGGGAGGAACACAGGTGAACAGAATGACTAATTAGACAGGGGAGAAACTGGGTCACGGAGCACATAGGGAGGGAAAACACAACAAAAACAGTCCAGGGGCGTGACAATATGTTAAATTAATCCTGTTTCCTATGATGTGTCCCCTTTAATTCTGGTGCCAAAATGGAGAAATGCAAGCATGCACTATGACTGAATGTGCATTACATCACTAAGCACTCTCATAGCCATAAAAATGTAAAATGTATGTTGCCTGGCACGTTCACCCTTTCTTTAGTGGATTTACTTGAACACAGCATTGTTTACTAATGTTATACATCTTTTAGATGATTCCAAACACTGTGAAACGAAGCTGAATCCAGACCACAGCCAGTGGTCACGCTGCATGAGAAATGTCTAAAAATACAAAAGCGCAGGATAAATCTCCCAGCTAATTAACACAAAAGCCTTTTTTGTTCCTGATTTTGAAGAGCTAAAATTCCAGCTAATTTAAGAGGAAGACTGTCCAGCTCAAATCATAGAAAGCCTCTTGGTATTTGATGGAAAAAATACTGTTAGAAAAGTGGCTTACAAGAGTGCGTATCGGGTGACCGGGCAAGAGCGGTAAATGGGGAAAGCGTGTAATTCCTCTGATTAAATTATATACCAAATTAAGAAGCTGTGGATGCATTTAGCGTCCTGCAGACCACATCTAGGAAATATCAGGGGAAAGAAAAGGCCTTAAAAATAACATGTCAGCTTTTTCTGAAATCCATCTGAAACATCATCCCAATATTCCACTATTAGAACAAAACCATTAAACGATGCTAAGAAAAATGAGGAGAAAAGAAGACCCCTTTTAACCTGTGATAATCAGAGAGCAAGACAGAATGGTTTTGCCTATACTGTAGATGGCATACTAGTTCCCATAAGTACACTGGATCATTCCTTGCCATCAAAAACATTCAAGCACAGCATGAGGCAAGCCATCACCTCTCTAAACATAATGTTCAGCTTGATCCCACTTTAGCAACCACAAAAGGCACAAAAAAGCATTTGCGCAGCAATTTAAGACTTTAAAACAAGGCCTCAGATGCCCTTTCGACGCCGAAGCTCTGAAATCTACAAGCTATTGTTTCATACTGCTACTTACAATTTTTAAATTGTTTTCAAGCTCCAAGCTTTCAAGGTCTAAAAACCACAAAGAAAATCTAGGATTTAAAATGCCATTTAAACCTGTAAATAAACAAAAAGATTGAGGATTCTGAAAAATGTAAAACAAAGAAATGTGTGTGATTAACCGTATGATTAAATGAAATAAATCCAAACTGGCTTGGTGTGATTATCAAATTGCAAAAGCCGCATTTTAATTAAATAAATATATGCAATGTGTGTTTCAGAGTTCTTTTATACACGAGCAGCTCATGATCTGGAGTTTTAGTATCTCAGTATCTTTTCAGTATAATAATAATATTAATAATAATAATATAATCACAAATTTTTTGGTCAAATTGTTTAGACCTACAAAAAGTACATCTAACCTGAAGCTTTAAAAATTAATTATATAAAAAAACCTTTCATTTTAAAATCAAATGTGCAAATTTGTGACAGTCAAATGTCAGACGTTAGATGTTCTTGAAGATGCTCTTTAGATTATTCTCACATTGTGGATTTCAGACTTAGCCTATAATTATCACATTGGCCTTAATGTTTATTTTTGATAAATTTTTTGAAATCGTGGATTTCAAATGTTGCAAACGTTTTGGGATCAAAATCACTTAATTTGACAGCACCTGGTAGATTAGCTTTCTGTTTAGGATACATTTCCTCAAAGTAGTCGATGTGTGGAGGCTGCAGAATATCCAGAGCTGACAGCACCTGTGGAGAAACAAAGACAGAGCGCCAGAGGTCAGCTTTGACGCCAGAGAACGTAGGCACTGACACCAGCCTTCATATGACATTAGTTTCCCAGGCACCAGCAGCCCAGGGACAACAAGAGCTAGCCAGGCTCCCGCTAATGGCACCATGGGGACAGCACGTAGATAGCGAGAGTTAGGTAACACTAACTGATTAAAAAAAACAGTAGGGGATGGTGGGAAGCTCACATTGTCGTGCTTGAAGAAACAAAGCATCTTCAGCTCGCGGAAAACCCTCTTGCAGGAGACGAGGTTTTGGAAGACATTGGGCATCTTTTTGAGGGCCACGCGTTTGCCGTCTCTGGGGTCTGTCACTGACCTGAGGAGAAAAGATGAGAAATAAGCCATTAGGCAGGGCGATATACCAATAAATGTCTACATTCATACCAAAAAATATCTATATATACATTAGCATTCAAAAGATTGAAAGTTTTGAAAGAAAGTTCCCTTTCAGTCGGTCACTCCGAGTCACGTCGGTGACCGACGAATTGGGATATCACTTCGACAGACCAATCCACTTCGAGTGTAAACTAAACGAGCCAATGCACATTGGCATGCAATTATTGCATCCAGCTGCCGCTGATCACAGCGTGAGT